CATTGTAAGAAAAGCATTGATAACCAACCCACAACTTGGAAAGTTTTGAAAGCTGTAATGAGACAACAATTTTTCCCTCCTTATTATCGCCGTGAATTGCTTCGCAAATTTGAACAATTTAAACAAGGCAACAACACTGTTCATGCTTACTACCAAGAGTTCAAATCTTATATGCATCATTGTGACATAGAAGAATCTGAGAATGATACAATGAATAGATTTTTTGGTGGTTTGAACCATAATATTCAGGCAAGATTTCAGTATATTCCTCGTTGCATTACTGGTATGTATGTCCGTGCCTGTACCTTTGAGAGACAGATACAGGAGGATGCATTAGGTGACTACAACAACTACTATTCCAGTTCATGCTCACCACCGCCGGTGGGTTCCTCCATCATTGCACCTCGGATTATGAGCGCGACATCATCTCAAGGGTATGGTACATTGTCAACGTCCGTACCTACATCAGCTACATCTTTGCCACAAGGTAACAGTAAAGGTATTGATGATATAACTTCACATGAGAATGATGCATGCCTAGTTAATTTGAATGCGTCATGTACTGAGTTACCTGTTGATTTGAGCACACCACCTATTTTAGAGAATCTTGTTACTGTCATGAATGCGTCATGTGATCAAACAACTGAAATATCAACAATTTTGAGTGCACCCATTGAATTAACTGTTGATGCAAAAGAACTAATGTTTAATCATTTTGATATGGCCTCCAATCTTGGTGATGATTCTGTGTCCAATGACTTATTGCATGTTTGCTTATTTAAGCATGTTGTAGCATGTAAATTTGATGCAAGTAAGGTTTATTCACCAAAGTTGGGATGGTTTAATGATGAACATTGCGAATCTTTTGAAATGAATAAGAGCTTCACTTATATGTGCAAACTGAGTTCTAATATTTTCATGCCTTCTATTTCTTGTGATAATTTTTTGGCTTTAGTTTTTATGAACTATGAAAGTTACTCATGTATACATGTGTCATACGTGCAAAAATCAAAGGAAGTTAAACTGGATGACATATACATATACAACATGTACATCTTGTCTCTTTTGTTAGCCACATTTCAGATTAAGCAACGCCGAGGACGGCTTTGTTTTCAAAAAGGGGAGGATGGTGAGGACATAACTACCTTGGATACGACCAAAAATATTGCATACATGCATATTTGTCAGGTGATTTCTAATGCAAACTATTCAATAATCTATTTATATTATCCAGAACAAAAATACTTCACACACTTTTGTGTTTTGTCTAATTGCAGGTGTATGGGACATTTGTACAATCCACATATAAAGATAAGGGAAAAGGATAAGTTTAGGTTGTGTTCAAAAAGTCCTCTCACGTCATTTTTGGGGCAAGAGAAGATAGAGTCCAAGTCTCTCACGTTCTGGATTCAGATTCGGACTGCACAGACATACCTGACTCAAAACGCCAACAACTTTTTCATAGGACTCCGAATTGGGTGATTCTTTTTTTGTTGGAATCTAGATTTCGTGCTCTTTCCAACCCAATTGGATTCACCTTCAAATTCGTTCGGGGCGTTGAGTTACGGACAAAATAATCTGACATTGCAGCAGAATCCGAGTCAAACTACAAGCCCAAAGGTGTTGCATCATCTTCACTTGGGCCCATGAGCCTTGTACGACCTAGGATTAGTTTTAGGCTGCCTTGGGACGTCCTCCCACCTCCTTGGCCGCCACCCCTTGCTCCTATATAAGTAGATCCATCTAGTAGCTTTTTCCTTGGGATTTGTTTAGTTAAAAGTTAGCCATTGCAACTTCGTGTACTTCGTTTGTGTCCAACGACCAGACCAAGACCGCTTACGGATCCCCACCATTATCAATACCTCATATATATTTGCGATATTCAGATTGCTTTATCATATTCTTGCTCGTTCTTCGATTGCTTGCAGGAATAGACCTTCGTGGTCAGGCTGACCGTGCTTCCAGCATCGTCAGTAACCTCAGGAGATTGGTTTAGCGATTGCTAAGGCGCAACGTCGTGCACGTTTGTAGTCGGATCGTCAAAGTCGTCTCCACCAAATCGATAGTTATCATCTCATCGAAAGATCGGTACACCCTCGCCTCTATCATCACATAACTCATAATACAAATCATCATCGAGCGTTAAGCGTGCGGACCCTACGGGTTCGAGAACTATGTAGACATGACCGAGACACATCTCCGGTCAATAACCAATAGCGGAACCTGGATGCTCCTATTGGCTCCTACACATTCTACGAAGATATTTATCGGTCAAATCGCACAACAATATACGGTGTTCCCTTTGTCATCGGTATGTTACTTGCCCGAGAGTCGATCGTCAGTATCATCATACCTAGTTCAATCTCGTTACCGGTAAGTCTCTTTACTCGTTCCGTAATGCATCATCCTGCAACTAACTCATTAGTCACATTGCTTGCAAGGCTTATAGTGATGTGCATTACCGAGAGGGCCCAGAGATACCTCTTCGACAATCGGAGTGACAAATCCTAATCTCGATCTATGCTAACTCAACAAACACCATCGGAGACACCTGTAGAGCATCTTTATAATCACCCAGATATATGGTGACGTTTGATAGCACACAAGGTATAAGTCATGAAAATGAAGAAACATGTATAAGTCATGAAGAAAGCAATAGCAATAAACTAAACGACCATAGTGCTAAGCTAACGGATGGGTCTAGTCCATCACATCATTCTCTAATGATGTGATCCCGTTCATCAAATGACAACACGTGTCTATGGCTAGGAAACTTAACCATCTTTGATTAACGAGCTAGTCAAGTAGAGGCATACTAGGGACACTCTGTTTGTCTATACAATCACACATGTACTAAGTTTCCGGTTAATACAATTCTAGTATGAATAATAAACATTTATCATGATATAAGGAAATATAAATAACAACTTTATTATTGCCTCTAGGGCATATTTCCTTCGGTGTGTCCCCAATACCAGCGCGCCACCAGAGGGGTTGTGTGTCCGCCATATACCTGGCCAAACCTCGGGCCGGGCCAGGCTTCGAGCTGGGCCTAGCCAAGCCCGAGCCAAAAAACCTGGGCCCGAGCCCGGCCCGGCCATCGGGCCTAGTTTTTGGGCCCAAGCCCGGCCCGAACATGCAAAAGCCCGCCGGGCCTTGGGCCTCGGGCCAGGCCCCTTCAGAAAACGGCAAAAATGATGGGCCCGGGCCCAGCCCGGCCAGGCCACCGGGCTCAAAATCTAGGCCCGAGCCCGGCCCGGGAGCAGCGTCGGGCCGGGCCGGGTCTGGCTTTTTCGGGCCGGGCCGGCCGGGCCGGGCTGCCCATGGCCAGGTCTAGTCCGCCAGCACGTTCGAACGCCAGACGGACCGCACGGCCTCCGGTAAGGCATCTACGGCCGGCCTAGCGCCGGATCCATGCGCCATTTGGGCGGACGCAGTGGATTCCTGAAGGATGGAGTCTGAACGCAACCGTCCACGGGCCTCCTTCCGGGCGGGGCGGAGGGCAAGTTGGGCGGCCATCTCCTCCTCGGGGCCGCGTGGGATGAGCTCGGGGTTGACGGATCTAGAGGTGAAGGACTCGGATCCGCTGCCCACCATGCCGGAGACGATCGAAAGGAGCCAGAGACGAGCTTGGGTGGTGGAGTGAAGTGGAGGGGAGGAGAGTGAACTGGCTAGGGTTTGGTCCGGCGAGGGGATGGAGAGGATTTTATGTGGGGTCGGGGAGCCAGCGTGGGCCGGGTCCGACATGACGGATACGCCTGGGCGCCTTATATCTGCTTCATATTTGGGCTGGATATAGGGGATGCCGGTCAGAACGGGTGTTTGAGGGCCGTTTGTGGGGCATGTCTAGGTCAAAAAATCGTGACCGAAGCGAACCTTGACCGGGCGGTCCGCCCGAACATATGAGGCGGGTTTGATGCGTCCGGCTGTAGATGCTCTAAGGTTCGGGAAGACATAGGGAAAGTCAAAATTTAAGAGGGCCGATTAGAGATGCCTTGAGCGCTTGCATATAAACTCCAGCCCACACACGAATTATCTACCGCTAAATCCATTCACGGCCTGGTGTCGTGTGGGCACAGCCACACGCATGGCAGGGCTAAAATCCAAACCCGTCCGTCTCTCATGAGCCGGAGGAGAGGGAGGCAGCCCCGTCCGTCCCTCCAGGGCTCATCTCCTCTCAGTCCACACAAAATCGGATGGTGAAGCAGCAGTAGCAGCCGGAGAAGCAGTTCCCCTCCCCAGCAGCTAAGCACCAGCCGGCCGGACCCGCCGCTTCTCCACCCTCCTCCCCTCTCCCCGCTCCGTCATTACCAAGGTAATTGCACTGCCCAGCATGCATCTTCGTCTTAATCCATTATTACATCGGTGTGCCAGCTCGTGTAGCCATGCCTGTTGCTTAATTTCCTACTGATGCAGTATCGCAATGCACTCCTGAGCTAACAGTTTCAGATTTTTAGCAAGTGCCTGTGCATCTCCCGGCCTGCTCACTCGCCTCTGTTTTGAGTTCCTAGCTTTCTTTTCGAGAAATTACACCCTGCTTTGCCGACAGAAATTCTCGATGCTAGTATAGTAGGAGATTATTTATAAGCTGATGTCTGCTTCGGCCTCTGCTTTTCTGAATTTTGTTGTCACGCGTAGTACAGTACAAGTAGAAGATTGTAAGCTCTGGTCTTCTGAACATTCCAGCTGCTTCAGATCGAGTTCACAAGTTACCACACCATTCACACGTACTAGAAGGCTGCCATAAAATCTGGTTGTCTTTCTGAATTTCGTGCCATTGATTTACAAGTTGTCTTTCTGTATTTTGTTGTCTGGTTCAGCCTCTGGTTTTCTGAATTTTGTTGTCGCACGTGGTAGAAGATTGCAATAAGCTCTGGTCTTCTGAATTTCGAGCTGCTTCAGATCGAGTTCAGAAGTTACGACGCGTACAAGACTGTAAGCTCTGGTTTTATGAATCTTCTGCCATTATTAATTTGGAAGTTGTGAGGGCAGGCAGGAAGATGTGCTCGTTGGAGGCGACGCGGGCGGAGCTGGGGCTGGCGGTGCTGTACCTGAACAAGGCGGAGGCTCGGGACAAGATCTGCAGGGCCATCCAGTACGGCTCCAAGTTCATCAGCAACGGCCAGCCCGGCACCGCGCAGAACGTCGACAAGTCCACCACCTTGGCTCGCAAGGTCTTCAGGCTCCTCAAGGTCAGCCCGCCTGCACATGCCATTATGATATGCTCCTTGTAGGCTGCAGCTGTGTTAAATTGGTTTTGGCCCTGAATCGATCGACCTGCAGTGGGTGAACGACCTGCATGCTCTCATCAGCCCAGCCCCCAAAGGGACCCCTCTCGTGTTGGTCTTGCTTGGGAAGGTACTCTATACTTTATAGCGCATTAATTTCTCACCGTTTGAGTGAGGCTGTAAGAATGATGTGCTGACTGTTAATTGTTTCTGTAACTTGTGCAGTCCAAGAATGCGCTGCTGTCGACCTTCCTGTTCCTGGACCAGTTCGTGTGGATAGGAAGATCGGGGATTTACCAGGTTTGTTTGCCGAGATTTCAGCGTCTCACCCTCCAATGGTTCACCCCGTTCCATCGTGTATAGTATTGATTAGCAATCTGTGAACCTAGTTTTTCTTCTTCCTGTTGTTGCTGGTATATAGAACAAGGAGCGCACGGACCGCATCGCCAGGATATCCCTCTACTGCTGGATGACTTCCTCTGTCTTTGCAAGTCTAGTCGAGGTACGTATATTATATTGCAGGGCAGGAGTAAGTTCTACCAAGTTTCTTAGAGATAGATAGCCCATGAACATATAGCTGACGATTTGCGTGGGATTGCGCAGCTTGGAGAGCTCAAGAGGCTATCCAAGGCGATGAGGAAGCGCGCCAAGGAGCTCCGGGGTGCCGACAAATACGAGGTAAGTACATACGTAATTGGTATCTCACTGATCATACCGTACGTAGAGCATAAGAACCTGAACTTTGCTGTGCTTTGTGATCTTTTCCAAGGACGAGCAGTACCTGGGGAAGATGAAGCAGTCGGACGACCGGCTGCTGGCGCTGGTGAAGGCGGGCATGGACGTGGTGGTGGCCGTGGGGCTGCTGCAGCTGGCGCCCAAGAAGGTCACCCCCAGGGTCACCGGGGCCTTCGGCTTCGTCACCTCCCTCATCTCCTGCTACCAGGTATGCCAAACTAAACTCACCAATAAACCTCGTCTTCTGACGGCTCTGAATTTTATGCTCTGTTTCTCTTCAGCAACTCCCGTCCCGCGCTCCCCTGGCCAAACTCAAGGCGTGAGTAACGGACGCTACACCATGCATGCTAGTCCAGACGCTGCCTCCGCTTAACTCAAGCCGATGCTGTGCTCGATCATGGAATCTGAGATGTTTTATTCCTGTGTACGTAGCACTATATATAGAATGATGATGTCGATCGTCTGTACGTACGGTTTTTATACATATACATGTACACGGTATGCTATGAACAGTACTAATGGACATGGTATGTATGGTCGATCATGTGTTAGTGCATGGTGCTTATAGTATATGCCAACAGTGTTTGCACTTGCGAACCAAATGTAATAATTACAGAGAGATCACATTTATATTAAACCAAATCTCAGTCGAGTGACATGCCATGTAAGAAAGAAATAGAAAAATCTGAAAAGAAATTTTACATGGATCTCAATGTATCATCGACAAAATAGCATCAACTGAGACATGATCAAATCTTAATCGACTAAGATTTAGCAAGACTTTGAACAGAACCTTTCCGTGCGCACCGCACACAGTGCATGGTTCGTCATGCATTACGTACCCTTTAACCAAGCACGCCGCCAAAGGGAACTTTTGGGGTAGGAGAACTATATATGCTTGACGTACAGTCGCCGGCGGCCGGCCGGCCTAAAGGCGACGCACGGCCAACCGCTGATGCACTTGGCCGCCAAACTGAGTGAGTGAGTGGCTAATCATGGCGATCGATCGCCTGATGGGTCGGCCGGGCGCACGCGTGCAAGTGCAAGCCGGGATTTTCTTTGGTTCCCCATCGCGCGTGCTCCACTATCGCACTAATCTAGTCGTAACGCTCTCATCATCATTCATGCCATCCGCATATTATCACAGTATCACACACGCACGCGCAGGATCATAGCGAACGGTGGTCGCGATCACGGCAACAAACGCAATCGTCCAGCTCTGTTTCCAAAAGGTCCGGAACCAAATGAGAGCTCGGGACAGTAATAGCCATGTTAAGAAGCTCGTCATCATTTTAAAGCGGTTGCATCACTAGATTTCTGGATTTAACACGCTTTTCTGGCAATGCCCCGGTTTTACAATGACATCACTGTGTATCAACGGTTTTATTGTTTGCTAGACTAATTGAAGGAAAAAACTCCTCCTTGCAATTATACTATCGATGGGGATGAATATAACATGGGCTACTGTCTAATTGACGTTATCTATCCTCCGCGGGCTACCTTTGTCAAGACCATCTCCGAGTCAGTTGGTCCGAAGATGACTTAATTTCCTCCAAAACAAGAAGCAGCTAGAAATGATATGAAGACGGCATTTGGAATGCTCCAGGATGACCTTGTGGGAAGTGATGACACGTTGTGTGATCATGCACAACATGATCGTGGAGGGTGAGCATGTAAATGTTGCTGCAACTCTTAAATTTGAGAAATCCTACCAAACTTTTAGATGGCATTTAGCCATGTTTGATGAGTTTGTTCAAATGCATCAACAAATTCGGTATCGACCAACTCAAGGAAGATTGATTGAGTACCTGTGGCGGTTAAAGGGGATAACTAGAACATATGTGCTAGTTGATTTCAAGTTTGAAATACAGTAATTTGGAAACTTTGTTGAATTGTAATATTTAAATTAAAATTACGATTTGATATGCGGTTATTTTGAGCTTGCGGACTAAAAAAAGTGGCGGAAGTTTTGCGGCTAGCTTTGGATGGCTGGCTCCCGTATCACTGTCTGAGGACTTGTCCCCACCGGTTGGATACGGTATCTGATTTGAGGGGTTAGTGTTGGAGATGCCCTAAGACCGAAACAAGGCTTAGACAACCCACTCCTGCCCTGCAAGTCAACACGGTTGACGCTTCTCTCTGGTGGGCCTAGACCTTGGCATGTTGCTTGTGTTGGCTATAGGATTTGAGGTGAGTCCGGTCTGTCTAGTCTGAAGTCCGGGCCATCCCATATTCGCCCCACGTATGGACTGGATATGAGCGATGTCGGTTAGCCCAGGCGACTAGGTTCGGTTTGAGGGGGTCGACTGGGTCGCGATTTTGTGATCGATCACTAACGAGGCCGTCCATGCAGACGTACAGGGGGCATTTGATGAGCGCGATTGTAGATGCTCTTACAACACATAACAGAATCCCCTCCCCCTCCCCAGCGCGCGCATGTTGCCTAACTCTAGGTGACTTGGACGACGAAGCAATACCCGCCACCACATCCTCCCTCACCCGCTCCTCCCCCTCACCAGGCTCTTCTCTCAGCGTGTGGTGCTCGGTCCCACGATGTTGGGCTATCGGTGGCACTTAGTGCTCTAGGGGGGTGGGCGTGCCCTCGAGTATCGTTTGTGATGTAATGACGACGAAGATGGTATTTTGATGGTGGATAATCCAGATATGGTTGGCCACGAGGTGCTCGTCATGTCATGGTCTCGACCATGCTTGCTCGAAGGCATAACGGAGTTGTGGTGATGCCTGGATGTGGGGGTGGTTGGTTTAGCTATATCTGGTTTCCCCATGTCCAGCATGACAGGCACCATGGTGGTGGCATGATAATCTCGACGACGGTGGTTCCTAAAGGCAACAACCTCGGGTGTTGGCGGTGCTATGAGAAAGTTTGGTGGTCTGTCAGTCTTTGTGTCTTAGGCGGGACGAGTGCAAGGCAACACCCAGGCGAAAGCCCTGCTTTTGGCTGTTGGGCATGGAGGATATGGCAACACCCTCGGGAGCCACTTCCTTGACATCGAGGCATCCTGCTCCAAGTCCTCCCTGGACAACACAGGGGGGGCTTTATCACCTTGGGATCTAATGATGATGGTGCGTCCATGTCATGCTCCCCTTTGGGGGCGTGATTCTCGGAGTTGTCATTGGTTGGAAGACGATACGTCTGTAAGGTATCCATAATTTATGAAGTATTCATGTTATATTTACATAATTTATAAATGGTTTTGGTGCACTCTTATATTATTATTATGGACTAAACCTATTAATCTTAGTGCCCAGTGTCAGTTCCTATTTTCTGCTTGTTTTTTGTTTTACAGAAAATCAATATCTATGAAGGTCAAAACACCCTGGCGATTTAATATGCTTTTTTCTAAAATATATCTAATTTTGGGAGAAGGAATCAATGCAAAAGGATGCCCGAGGGCCCCACAGGGGCAGGTGGCGTGGGCATGCCTGGACGCGCCATGGGCCCTTGTGGCTAGCCTTAAGTCGGTTGGAGTCATTCTTTCGCTGCAAGAAAGCTAATTTCTAGAGGAAAATACCCTCAAAATTTTAGCCCAATCGCAGTTAAGGATCTCCGGTTATAAAATAAACGGTTTTTTTCCAGAAAATAGTAGC